GGAGCCACTCCCATAGGGAAGCATAGTGATGGAGGTATCATACTGTGGGATATTTTTGACTTGTTTTTGCCTTGAGACCAATAAGAAGAATGAGACAAACTCATATTTTTAGTGTACAATGGGGACTTTATACTATTAAAAAAGTCAATCTGTTTATAAAAGCTGGTAATATATTCAAATTCTAAATTGACTTTTTTCCTCAGAAAGTTTCTTGATCTTCATGAGCATTCAAGCACCATGCTTTTCAGTTTTTGCTATGATACAGTTAATGTTGTCACCATTCATGAGTAATCATAATGATTACGACCAGGACTCTCAATTTCTTAAAATCTGGATGTTATTCCGAAACAGGGTGATGTTAAAAAAAAAAAAAAAAAAAAAGAAAAGAAAAAACTCCAGGAACTAATATTGAAAAACTTTCTCCTCATTATTTGCTCTAAAGCTGTCTCTCAAACAACATTCATTTGCTCCCGATCGGCTCCCAAATGCATTCAGGGAAAAACTAATGATTGAAAATTGCTGTTTGACCTATACTTAATTAATTAGCTTATCTGTCTGCCTTGGCCTTTAGGCTGCAATAAAAGGAGGGAGACGGGGAGGAAGTGGATGCTGGATCTGCGGACAGCACTGAGGAAGACAGAGACCTCGATGCTTGCCTAAGCAGTGCATTTACCCGCATTTTGGAACTAAATATTGATGCTAAGGATGCTGATGTTGTGAGAGGTTAGCAGTGGGGGTCGACTGCCTGACGCACATGGAGAAGCTGCAGAGCCTTGAGTTATCGCTTTCCTCCTTTCTGCTAAGCCCCCAAACCCTCACGCTATATATCTTCCCCTCCTAATGCCCCTAGACTCGCTCCATCATGCTAGCACAGAGCGGCCTCTTCCGTGGAATGAACCGCAGCTGCGATAGCTCATCCTAAGCTTCTTCATGAAAATGGTAGCATTTCAGTTTTTCCTCATCGTGTTGTTTGCAAAACAGACTTTATGGTGTCAAAATCTTCCGGATTCCAACACACAGCCGACGGTTGTACAGTATTTAGCAGCTTGACAGAAACTGAAGCTGCAGCTATACAGGACATAAAAGAAAACATGTGGATTCAAAGACAACTTGAAACTTTTACAGCATCACAAACGGAGCTGGAAGGAGATAATAGCCGCCGTCAGTGTTTGTGTTCTGCTCCGTCTTTAAGATTTTGGTGGTGATCCAGTTTTGCTCTTTCCCACCAATCAAGGAAAATGTTTCTTTATGGATCTGGCTTTGTGTAGGAGGGTCTTGTCATCTGGAAAGATGAATAGCTCTTCTGTAAACACACACCACAGGCTTCTTCTTCACTCCTCCCTTTTAAATTAATGTCTTTCAAACAGTAAACTGATACGATTTTTCTTCTTGTTACCAAATCATTCACTTTGCATAACACCCAGAGTAATTGTTTACAAGATTGCCAAGATGTTAAACAATTTCACACCTCCAAACCTCCTCCTGAAATGTGGACTGCTCTGAGGTAGTTGTAAAAAAGGAACAAGGGGGGGACAGAAGATCACTGCCAAATTTGTCTAAGGCTACAACACAGTAAGAGACTGGACAATACCAAAGGGTCAGAGGAATGTTTATGCAAGGAATATTGTCATTTTTTATGCCTAAGAAAGAATCTGATCCTGTGTAGTCACTTTTCTTTTTGAGGTTTGGATTATAATTATTATATATTTCTTTAATTATCTAATACGATTCTTGTAACTCTTGCTTTGTTTCATGATTTTTTTTTTTCCTTCAACCTGAACTGACTGTGTAGTCAATAGTAAGCTTTTCAGTATTGGAAGGATTGGACTCTATGGTCTATGGTCTTAAACTTACCAGTTCATTCCCAAAGCTTTAGGGAGGAGTTTATGCTGTGTCAGAATTACCCATAATGCAAGAGTGCTTCTCTGTAACCATAACAGTCTAGATTGAGGTCACAATAGAGATATGTTCTAATAAATCATGATAATAAAGAACGAGCTGCATATACGTTTAAAAACCTCAACAACTGCCTGCTCCAAGGGCTTTTAATAAAGCAAATATTTTTTTATTTTTTTGGTCAAATCTGTTATCTGTTTCGTTCCAACCTGTTTCCACTAACTCCGTTTTTCCCGTTTATAAAATCGAGCTGTACAGGATGCTTTCCAGAATGTTTTGCCATGTTTATGGCAATAGTCATACTGGCTTGTTGGTAGGCTGGGTATGGATTCAATTTTCAAGAATTGATCTGGTTCTGATTCTCAAGATTTTGAATACATTATTTTCAATATGATCTCATCCAATCCAAATTGGATTGCTAGTAGTGAAAAATCTTTTTTTTAAGCGGCTACTGTACCTGAATCACATGAGTGTGCAGTCATGCAACATTTTTGATGCCGGTATTGTCGCGTTCTTGGCACTGATGACTGTCTTAATGGTTCATTCCATTCACCTGCCTAGCTCTGCCCGGTTTCTAATCACTGTTCATCTTATCCATCTGCTCCTGCCTCTATTTAAGCTGCTTGCTCCCAGTCATCACTACCAGATCATTTGTAGTCTTTAGTGAGAGTTCTCCAAGGTACCCATTTGTATTTTAATTGCCTGACTAGTTCTGCCCTCTGACCTTTGAGTCTGCTGAACCTGTTCTGATCCGTGTATGGACTCCTGCTGGTTTCTAACTGTGGACTGAACCTGGATCTTTCTCCCGACTTCGATTTGGATTTCCCCTCTGTGCCTCTTCGGATATCTGATCTTGGAAAAATAGTTTTAACATAATTTTAAGCGAGAAAGTCAACCTAACCTCAAAACATCATCTGTGCTGTCGGTTAATCGAAAAAGGTTACATTTGTTTAATGTGTATAATCAGTAAATGTAAAGCAAATTGCTTTAACCTATAAACCATCAGTTTACAAGCCTCCCAACGCATCCATCATCCCTTGGTCTCTCCTACAGCATTGCCATGTTGCCTTTCTGCTTGGCTAGACCTGAGCTGTCCATCAGAATCCCCGTAATAACAAGTGAACTCTCCCTCTCACCTTCTTCTTCGCTGCCGTCAGCTACTGTCGCTTCCAACTTTCCTGCTTTTTAGACATTCCTGCACATTTTCTGCACAAAGTCACAGCCAAAGTCATTCAAGAAAGAAAGTGGTAGTACTGCCGAGCTAATCAGTGACACCTTTAGGGTATGTTTATTTTGTTATGCAGCAGCAACCTCTGAAACTCCATGTTGAGAGTAAAAAAGGTGAAATTTGGAGAACATGACCACACCTTTTAATTGTTAAATTCCTAGTGGGCCTATAAGCCCTAATTCAGCACAATAAAGTGCTTTTTACGCAGTGTTTGGTCAACAACCATCCAGGATGTCTGAGCTGATTTTTTTTTAATGTGATGTAGTATCTTATATATGCATGAAATGAGTCCAGTTTATATTTTCTATTTTATCATCTTAATAACTACATATTTAATCTGAGGCCAGTTTTCATTGGTAACTAAAGGTGGAGAAGGTGGCTAGGCTGCACGTCTATGGCTCGTTAACTGGACAGATAACTCAAAGGTAAAGTTATAAGCCTGTAAAAAAAAAAAAAAAAGCTCTTTCATTTAGAGGACTAATTTATTCTTCGATAAGAAAGTTATAAATTCTGAAGTAATTTTCTAATTGAGCATCTTACATTTATAGCGAACAGAGAGTCATTCCCAGGTAGGATCTCAGCTCCCCTTCTTATAGAAAGCTTCCCTAATATTTACTAGTTTTTATCCATTCAGTGATAAGACTCAAATTTGGCCTTTTTGTTTCACTACAAAAGAGTCACTTTCGTGGTCTTGAGTAGAAATTTAAAACTGTGATGAGTCTGTGACGGGGTTTTAGGGGAAGTTGTAGCGGGACTTTTGTGATCCAACTAAAGAAACCATCACCCCTGTTCTCTCTTTGCAATAAAGTAGCCAGGCAAACGAGAGAGCGCAGCACGACACAGTAACACAAATCCGACTCAGGCCTGTAGAGGCAACTGCAGTAATTATTAGAAAGCCAATCTTATGTACAGGTTGGGCAAATGTAAAGGCATGTGTGGAAAGGACAAAACAAACAAACAAACAGAAGAAAACAGGTTTCAAGACAAATACCTAATGATAAGCATGGTGGTGGAGCAATGATGGGGTGGAAATTTGTGGCACAGGATTGACCTTCCATCATCCTTTCATCCATCCATCCATTATCCATCCATCAATCCATCCATCCATTATCCATCCATCCATCCATCCATCCATCAATCCAACCGCCCATCCATCCATCCATCCATCCATCCATCCATCCATCCATCCATCCATCCATCCATCCATCCATTATCCATCCATCCATCCATCCATCAATCCAACCGCCCATCCATCCATCCATCCATCAATCCAACCGCCCATCCGCTGATCCATCCATCCATCCATCCATTATCCATCCATCCATCCATCCATCAATCCAACCGCCCATCCATCCATCCATCCATCCATCCATCCATCCATTATCCATCCATCTTTACTTATGTTTTCATCTTTTTTATTGATCAAAAATCAACCAGCAATCCATGAGCCACTGTTTTGAGTAAAACCGTTTTATTTATGGGTCATTCCATCACGGTGACCTCCATCGTCTTTCCCTTCACATCCCCTCCCTCTGCTGTCTCTAACAAAAGTGGCACAGCAATCCAAACAAAGTGTGCTCTAACAAGGCAGATATTTAAATCTGCTGTGTCTCCTGACTTGGTTCAGTGTGGAGGTGAAGAAAACATTTCTGGGATGCAGACTATGAAAAAATGGAGTGTTCTACTTGCTATTATCCTGCTTTATGCAAAAAATGACAGCAGCAGAGCTAACATTTTGTGGTTTTCAGTGGTATTGTGTAAGAATAAAAGAGATGCGGGAATGAAATCGTCTGTGGATTTTAATATGATGTTTAGAGAGACAGCGAGAGAGATTTTACAGATATGACAATTTTATAGACATAAAGACAAATCTCACCTTTCCTGCTGCAGAAGCTCCTTGGTCCACAGAGAAGCTACAGAAAAACAAAGGGCAAACATTGATCACAGAGAGAAACCTGAAATCTGCCTAATACTCTTTTTCTATGTTTGAAAGGTGTTTAATCATCATTACGATAAAAGAAACAACCTTTCCAAACAAAATCACCAGTTAAAAATGATATTTTTCAAAATCATTGTTTGCCTGAAAAGACAGTAAGATTGAAATTCTAACAGAGAGATGATCACATTTTAAATAACTTTTATTCCACCTATTTGCTCGAATTACTCATAGAAATGACCTTTAATGATAAAAAATATTATGTAAAATCAGCAAAAAATGCAAGACTTAAAATGTATTCTGTCATCCTAAATGGCAAAATTAAATCTAACTAACTTAATTTCAGTTAAAGCCCTTTTTTTTTTTTATTAAGATGAAAATAATATTTCAATTAGCAGGAATGGCAGCTTCATTATTTTCCATTTCAGTCTTTATTTTAGGCTTATATTTTGATTGAGTCCAATGTCCAATCTTTTTATTAAACTACATGGAATAAAATAAAATTTTAAGTCAGTTTTATCAATATTTGCATATCATAACATTTCTGTTCAGAAAGATAAAACCTACCATGAAAATAATAAAAAAAAATAAATAATGCAAGTTAATGAAGCTATAAAATATTCACCATATTAAGTAAAACATTTTTTTTTTACCTCTTATTGTTACTCTGCTATAATTGCACAAAAGTTCAGCAAAGCTTAACCTGCTGCTGCTTTCCATGCACATATTTTAAAACTTAGGAAGAAAAGTACATTTCAAATATCTTGAATGGCAGCTTTTCATCTTTTGTAATCCATTTCTCATCCATCACAGGCTCATAAATGCACAGTGCTTCCTATTTTAAGTCTTCATCAGAGCTTTCGTGTCTTTGAAATTTGGCAGAAACTGACGTTTAGAGAGGCACTGCTGCAGGAAATATAAAAAGTCTTCAAGGCATTTTTCTCACTCCATTCGTAGCCCAGTCAAAAACAGAACACCTTTAACTTTCTTCAAGAGGTTAAATGACTTATATTAGATTTGCATTATTATTTTCAGACGTCTGTTTGGGGTAAAATATTAAGCATTTGGTCAAATCTCCAATATAAATGACCGCCAGTGACAAGTTAAGAGTAAAACATATTCACTCTTTCTTTTAATATCTTAAACAATCTGTAGGCTTTCAATTTAACCAGCTGATATTTAAGAGTTTCTCGTATTTTAATAAATTTTCCTAAAACTTGCATTTTAGGGTTTTCTCAAAGATTTCCTTTCTTTTAGAAGAAAGACTTCCTACAGTTGCAGGCCCACCTTGATCTAAATCAAATCTCAGAAAAGTGTCAATCTGATTTTAAATCACTTCATAGCACCCAGACAGCTCTCTTAAGAGGTTTTAATGATATTCTTTTTGGATTCTGGCAGCCCAGCTGCTCTTTCATTGTTTGAACCGTCAGCACCTATTCACTTCCTTCTCATAAGGCACATTTTGTTCACATCTCTTTAAAAAAATACTTTTTATGCTAACATGAATCCCTGCAGTTTGGAAATAGCCCCTCCAAGTTATGTTGTGCCACAGGGCTCCATTTTTTACATCCAGCCTTGTTTGCACTGTACATGTTGCCTATGGGATCCATGTTTTCAGGGTATAACCTTTCATTCTATTGGTTCAATGATGACCTTCAGCTTTATCTGCCCCTAAAAGCAGGGAAAATATCATTTAAGCTCCGACTGTGCTGCTTTAAAGATGTTAAAAAGCAGTTGTTCCTAAACTTTTTGGAATTAAATGAAAACAAAAGAAGGATTTTCTTCTTTTCACTCTAATAAGAAAATGCAACTCCATCTTCAATTAAGTGAGTCAGTAACAAGTAACTCAATTATGTTTGGCTAACTTAATTTATTGAACTTGGCAAGTACCGTATTTTCACGACTATAAGGCGCATATAAACGTCTTTTTTTCCCTCAAAATGTGCGGCGCGCCCTCTAGTGCGGTGCGCCCTATGTGTGTTGTTACTGCGGACGTTGTTGAGACCACCATGAGAACGTTAAAGGGGGAAGTGTGGGCGTGTATTGTGTATAAAAGAACAGGTATGTGCTTTATGCAGAACTCCTCATCTCCTCATTGTGGAGATGATGACAGAGTGGCTGAGGGAGGTGAATGTGAGGAGACCAGGTGTTTTTTTTTCCACGCATCACCATCGCTGTTAATCTGTGACTCCATGCGTGCCCATCTCACAGCCGATGTGGAAAAACAAGGTAAAACAAATGAACGCTGTGCTTGCTGTTATTCCGGGAGGTCTGACAAAGGAACTTCAACCGCTCGACATCGGTGTGAACCGGCCATTCAAAGTAAGGCAACATTCACGCGTCTGCTGCTTAATTTTTGCTGCTTGTACCAGTTAGTTCTGACGCTTTGCTGCTCTGACTGCGCGGTGCAAAAGTGTGTCTGACGCGCATTGGGCGGAGCTACTCTATCCTTTCTTTGCCTTGCAGCTATATTTGCTGTGATCAGTGGGAATAAAGTAGTTTTAATATGTTTTTAAGTGCCTTCTAATATCATTTCTGTCGGAGCCGCTCAGACCCCAACATACCAGCGCTGTCAGTAGGAATCCCATTCATCAGCAGCCTCTGGCCGGGTCGCCTCCTCGTGGTTCACCGCGGCAGCTGGTAGGTGTTTTTCATCTAAATAATCTAAACTGCAGGCACCAGGATAATAAAAGCGAACATATTCTGCCGGCAGATTTCTGCATTTTCAGTTAATTTATGCGTCAATAAACTTTTTCAGAGGAGTGATCACAGCGCTCTGTATCATCATGCTATGTGTCTGTCTCACGGCCAGCTCCCAGGTTTGATTAATACTTTGTAATAAATACATGAATAAAGCACAAACATACTCAGTTTTGCTCCCGCTCTATTTTTAAATACGCAGTAGAGGTATTTAAACGTAGTAGAGGACATGTACCGGTATATAAAATCTGCGCCCTATAATCCGGTGCGCCTTATGTGTGTGTTAAATACAGTAATGGCACACATAACTGAGACTGCGCCTTTTAGTACGGTGCGCCTTATGGTCGTGAAAATACGGTAAATAAATGAAGTTGGATGAGTTTGACAATGTTTTTCACTTCTTTGTTACCTGCAGATTGGACCAGAATCATAACTTCCAGTACTTTGAGTTGGACCAGTCCTCTATTCTCCACCTCCAAATGGTACAAAATGCTGCAAGCTGTTAACTGACTGGTAAGAAAACAAATTAGCCCATCACTCCAGTAATAATTATACTTTTAGTTTTTAAATGTGTATTTATTCTCCCTTCCTCCTACCTATCTGAACTGATCTCTGCTCTGAAAAAAGCCTTAAGCTCAATTAATGCTGTTTATTTCCAGCTCTAAACTTATTTCTCTCTTAGACTCTGGAATAGCCTGCATCTTCACAGTAAACAACCTCTGGAGAATTTTAAATAACTTTTAAATGAACTGGCCTTTAGTTCAAGAGGACCTAAATGTTTAGTTTTTAAGTTCTTGTTTCATATTGTTGTTCTTTTTATCGTATCCCTCATTATATCTTTTATGCTTCTAGCTATTTTGTTTGTTTTAGCAGCTGTTGAGTCGTTTTCCTTTTTGATGTTTATCCTTTTTATTTTATTTTCACTGTGAGGCTTTTCTTTTAACATATGACCATCTTGCTTGTAAAGCAGCTAGAGATGTTGGAAATGTGCTAAATAAATACATTTGATCTCGATGCTGAATAGAGAGGAAGTTGAGGGCGCCACAAGGATCTGATTTTTAAATGAGCTAAATATGGTAAACAGACATACTTTAAGGTCGCGTCCCTATTTCCAACACAGGTGTTGCTTAAGGACGAAAAATCTACTCTTAGTTATGTGCTGTTATTGATTTAAGCATTGCTTTAAATTAGGAAGATGAGAAACAAATGGAACGATGCTAGATAAAATGATCTTGCTTATGACTGCATAACAGATTAGTTCCATGTTTTACAAATAAAGCAGCAAATCTTTGAGGGGTAGAAAATCTAAATAAATCTGGGAGCAATACATAAAAAAAATGTCTTAGCCGACATTTAAGGTCACTTTAGTAGAAAAGGCTGTCAGAGTCACAGAAGGATCACACTGGGAAAAATGAAATCTAGATAAATCATTTTGTCTTAAAATAAGTGCATTTGTTCTTGGATTGAGAAGGTGAAAGAGACATTATGCAAATGGAAGAAAACAAAAGGTAAGAAAACACAATTGCATTGTCTTATTTTGAGTGCATCTCATCTAATTATCTTATTTTAAGAGTAAAAATACTCATTCCGTTCGCAAACTGTCTCATTTACCTGCTCAAATTAAGGATAAATACACTTAATATAAGACATTTTTTTTACTTATTTCTAGATAGTTTTTCCAGTGCAGATGTTAAACCGTTAGGCACCTCTCATGCTAAAAAGGACATTTTTATTTGCTTAATCAATTTACCCGTTGCACCATAAAAGAAAAAAGCTTATGATATCAAAATATCCTGTTCCAAGAAAGAATATCAATAACCACCAATAAACAATATTTATTTGTTTCTTCTGCTTCTATCACTTGCCATGGTTTCCTTATTCTTAGTGTTATTAGGTTTTAAGCCAGGAAAAGTTCTAGTGGTGTGTGTCACAGTCAGCTGCCCTGAGGCGTTTAATCACCCCTGGGTTAATTATTATTTTTTTTTTTTTTAACTCACTGGCCCTTTAACTCCATTGAGATTTGATGTATGGAGGACCAACTCTGCCATATTTAAAAATAAATACAGAAATAAATAAATGCTCAATGAACAATTAATTGCCACCAAAAATTAAATAAACAAATAAATGTAGGTAGAAATTAAATTTTACAGTGTGGCATTAATGTATATAACTCTTTTAATTGGCTTCTTTTTGTATTTGCCTTTGTAATATTAACCTTTTTGTCCTTTATAATCTTCAACTTTATTTTTTAATTAGTTATATTTTTAAGTATTTATTTATGTGCATGTTATAATATTTTTGTCTGTTTTATTCTTCCTTTGTATTTTTTTACCCTAGGTTTTCTTTGCCGCTATTTATTTCTGTCTGTCCTTGTTACATTTCTGTATGCATTTCTGTCTCATTATGCAAATGAGGAGGGGGTGTGTCCTAGAGAGTCTAATCTGTACTGGTATAGTTTTTGACCCGTTATTTTATAGTCTAAAGAGAGATAAAGAGTTTTGTGATTCATTATTGTGTGCATAATATTACAATCTTATCCCTTCTTTTATTGCTTTTAATGCTTAATACTTTGTTTCATCTGTAGCTGGTGTCAAATTCTTTATTAATAAAGTTATTGACGATGATTATGATGGCAATTCGTTCATTAATTTATTTAATTCATTTTGCACCCCTTATTTTTTAACTCTGCTGCTCAGTTCTCATAATTACTGCCACAGAGCATCAGTGATTAAAAGCATGACTGCGGACTCTGGGTTATGCTGTTTTTTGTGACTTGACCCACATTTTTGTCTGCTGTCATTGGTGTATTTGTAAAACTCAGGACACAGCACTTCTTTTACAATATTATCTGGGTCCAGTGGTATTTCTTTTAATTCAGTTTCATTTTAATATTACTTTTAATACAGTTGAACAAAGCTGATTATAAACCTTTTTGTAGACTATGACTTGCATTTTGAATGTAGCCTTAATGGCCTTCTTTTTTTGAGCTAAAAGTGTTACATTGACTTCTGACATCAAAACAGAAATGTTCATTAAAAAAATAAAGCTTTAACAGATCACATTCATAAAATAAAGAATCAAGTTGCTTTTTTATAAATTAGAATATCTTAGTTTGATTAATGATGCAACTGAACTGTAGAAGGAAAGTCCAGAATAAAGTTTAAAAGTGCAATATTTTTTTGGTCTAAGGGGTTTTTATCAACAGTTAAGTCAGCTCAGATGTTAACTCTGCAACTCTTAGCACCAGTCTAGGCATGCTAATCATCATTCTCAGCTAAGGCAGGCGAATATTCTCTACTCAGGCACTGGCTCCAGCATCTCATTTGGCAGCACTGTTCAGTAGTTACTGGTGCCAGCTTCTTATTGATTAGATCAGTAGCAGGCAGTCCAGGACGAATGCACTGCTGAGTGCAAATAAGCTTAAATGTACAGTAGCACCAATACTTCACCATAGAGTTTGGCCTGTTTTTCAGTGCTTACTCCTGTTTCCCTCCTAGAAGTAGCTATGGGCTCAGCTTTTACTGCAACTAACTGTATGTGCTCTCCTTCATTCCTTATGGCATGAAAACTGACTCATAGCAGGTCTGCTGAAATGTTTCTCTTCTAGTCAGTGACACCTATGAGTTTAAGTTACCTTTTCTAACATAGAAAGTATTAATTTTTTTCTCCTTCTGTCTCGTTTAACCCTAAATCGGGCTCAGAAGGCTGCTAACACCAAGGTTTTTCCTTAAATTTTTTCTATTCCATCGTCGCTGCATGCATGCCTAGTGTGAGGAACTGCTTTAGACGCAACCACATGCTCATCCAAATGGAGAGGATCCTGCATGATGAATGACTGGATGCAATCAGTTGGTTTTCCATAGATCACACATGTTTTGATTTGGTGGTATAAAAAAAAAAAATAACTGAATATGTGATATTAAAGGGGCTTTTGAACATGAATTCTGTGTTTCCTGAACTACAAGCCATTAAACTCACAAAGATCCTCAACTTATAAAAATAGAAACAGAAATAAATCTTAAATGAATCAATAAAGCTGCATTTTTAAACTTAATCCCTGATTCATAAAAACGTATTGATTGTATCCTAATTTATTGAGATTAACTTGCATGTCAACAAATAAGTGAGGAGGGGAGAAAACTGGCCTAAAATATCACAGAAATAGGATCAACGCAACATAAGCAGGCAAAAGATAAATGAGATAAAACATTGACTACTTGAAATCATCTCTTTTGCAGAGATCATCTCATTAAACAGTGAAGTTTATTAAATTTTCCGCAGGGTAACCCCTAAATTTTAATTAATTCAATCAGAAGTGTTGAAAACCAGACCCAATTTTAGCTCCTGTTCTTGTTTGATGGTTTAATTTATTAGCTATTTGACATCTATTCTCAGAGTCTACTTTTTTCAGATGGGAGGGATTTTAAAAATCTATCTGCCATCCTTACACATCTCTTTGCTTCAGACTTTTACATGGAGGCTCACCTCGCCAGGCTGCTATTGGCGGAGCTCTCGCCAATCTGCGAGCTGGCAATCCACTTGGTCTCCCCCACCACCGTCCTGGCGTGCGGCAGGCGTCCAACGTCTTTCACAGTCATCATGAGGTGCCGCGAAGACTTAAGGACCCTGACGGCCTCGTCGTGCGGGATGCTCAGGAAGTTGTGGCCGTTCACCTCCAAGATCTGGTCGCCGACCTGCGGGGAAGGAGTGGAAAAGAGAGGCGTGGTGGGAGGGGCTGAGCGAGGCGGTGAGGGTGGAGCAGGCAGAGACTGCCACATGCACGGGTTCAGAGGTCAGAGGTTAGAGAGAGGTGGAGGTTTGTACATTGTTTAATGACTCAGAGTGAGCAGCAGCTGGGGTTCGGTTAGTTTGGTCAGCGAGCGGTGATAATTAGGACTAAAGTGTGCTCTGCTCACCAACTGGTTCAAGAACTACTTCACATGCAGCTGAAAAGGCTCTCAAAGGTAATTTAACTTTAGATGAAAGAGTTCAGGCTGCAGAGGAAGAGTAATAACGTTCATACTAAAAACAACCTTGAAATGCACCTTCAGTTTCCAGTGATGGTTCTGTTCTGTAGCTGCAGCCTCCAACAAGGTGAAACAGGGGCTCTTATCTGCTCTGAAGGAAAATGGCTCCTATATTTCTGCTCTAAGAACAACTAATCTCAGAGTTTTCAGTCACAAATTTCTAGTTTCCTACAGCCAGTGAGCAACGGATGTGATCTCATCTTTGAGTGAATGATTTTCTAGATATTTCCATCTCTAAATCCCATTTGCTCCCAGCAGATTAGTCCATGGAAGGGAAAGTATTTCAGATTCCCAAATGAAGCAGCAATAAAATCCAAGAAAACAATAACAGGAAAATTAAAATGTGATGAGAAAGGCCTATAATGAATCCAAGAGGACAGAAACATTGCCTAGAAAATAAACTTGCTTGGATTGCGTTATGACCAAAGGTCAAAGTAAGGGTCACCTTTAAAGACGACCTTAATTTGTTTATCTGCAGAAACATTTTATCCTGTTTTTCTTACCTAACAAGAAACTGATTGTTTACCACATGGTTGGACATGACCTTACCTGCACATATCCTCCCTGCATTCATCATTTGAGCTCAACTGGAAAAACTATATCGCTGCAAGAAAACTGAAGGCACATAAATGGCAGCTTATTTGTTTTTCAGATTATAAATACCTGCAAACCAAACCTCCTACTCCTCCTTTATCCCTGGGTTGTAGATTAGCTCTGCTGAGATGCTGCAGTTGTGCTCAGTCTGATCACAGCACAGCCTTTATGCATGGATGTAGCGGGATGGTAATTACATTTGTCACTAAAATATTCAGCGGTCGAATGAGCTCATGATATAAATTCATATTTTGGGAGTAGAAAAGTACACCGAGCTGAAGAGAGGAAAAGAGATGCTCTGGTTGTAAATAGGGCCTGCTGTCCCTGTCAGAGATGAGAGACTTTAAAGAAGCCGACTCGCCTGTTTCCTCTTTAAAATCTGAGCCTGAACAGCACAACAAGGCTGCTGAGGATAATAAACTCACTCTTTTCAACTTGAAAATATGCAACTGGTTACTGGGAGAGATGTATACTTGGAGGTGTATTTAAAATCTATTGAATTATATCAATAACAGCAGCAATCAACATATAAAAAAACAAAAACTGATTTAAGCTAAATCATTAAAAGAAAATCATGTTCTCTTTATTTGCAAACTAAAGTGTAGCTGCTTACTGTTAAATATATTAAAATTGATTATCTTATCAGGTATTTACATGAGAAATAAGCAGAATGTACACTTTTAGATCTGAACGTAATGTTTTCATCAATAGAATAGCGCATAATATTTCCTGATATCAAAGATCCAGAATGCATATGTACCATTAAAAACAGTGCAAGTAAAACTATAGTAAAGTACAGTCTTGCTCCTGACATTAAGTTTAGCAATAATCTATTTTATCATTAAAGAGCTTAACGAATTTCCCCAAGTTTGAATAATATTGAAGTGTTTGAGCGGACAAAACAGAGAACAGACTTTAAGAAGACAAACAATGGAGGAAAAGGATTTATGTGATGGCAATCATGGTTTTTTTTTTTTCCTGTAATGGCAATAAAGTTTTTTCTTTTCCCTGCCCCAAGTATCATCAGGAGTAAAAAAAACTCACAAGAGAAAGAAAATATTTAACGGTTCAAAGTTGGTCCTCTTTTTACAATGTCTATCTCCGAATTCTTATTAGAACACATTATTTAAATAAATGAAAATAATAACTAATTCATTTGTTTCAGAGGTATGAGCAGTTTTGGGCCTAAGCTTGTTATCCTTGGTGGCAATGGAGCATTTAACTTTGAAACCTATCATTTTTAGGTTTTCATATTTATATAATGTAGCTTCATCAACTTTAAATTAACCCTTTATATGGCACTCATTGAAAAACTTTGAAAATTAAAAATTTCAAGCTAAGAGTGTTATTGGAAAATTTAAAAAATATGCAGATTTTGATGGCAACAATCGAGATCAATGTAATAACAAGAAAAGGTCACTTGCGCTAATATGTTGAAAAGCATGAGAGAAGTGCATCTATAAGAAAAACACTCAGAATGAAAGAAACACATCTTTTTTGTTACAACATAACCTTAGAGCGTTAATGGTGATACTGGCACTTTTACTTTTTACTTAGTTTATTAACTTTTTGTATTTTCAATAAGCTTTTTAACTTACCTTATTAACTTTTTTCAACTGAATTTACAGCAGGTAACATACTGCATGTATGGAAGTGACCAAAAACAGTAACTTGTCCTATGTAGGGTTAAAGGTCAGTCATTATCTACTCTAGTTCATTTACTGCAGAGTTATTAACAGTGATTAATAATCCAATATGTACTAATATACAGGTGCTGGTCATAAAATTAGAATATCATGAAAAAGTAGATTGATTTCAGTAATTCCATTTAAAAAGTGAAACTTGTATATTATATTCATACATTACATACAAACTCATATATTTCAGATGTTTATTTTGTTTAATTTTGATGATTACAAATGACAACAAATGAAAATCTCAAATTCATCATATCAGAAAATTAGAATATTACTGAAGACCAATAAAAACAAAGGATTTATAGAAATGTTGGCCAACTGAAAAGTATGAACATGAAAAGTATGAGCATGTACAGCACTCAGTATTTAGTTGGGCCTCCTTTGGCCTGTATTACTGCAGCAATGCGGCGTGGCATGGAGTCGATCAGTCTGTGGCACTGCTCAGGTGTTATGATAGCCCAGGTTGCTCTAATAGTGGCTTTTAGCTCTTCTGAATTGTTGGGTCTGGTGTATTGCATCTTCTTCTTCACAATACCCCATAGATTTTCTATGGGGTTAAGGTCAGGAGAGTTTGCTGGCCAATTAAGAACAGGGATACCATGGTCCTTCAACCAGGTACTGGTAGCTTTGGCACTGTGTGCAGGTGCCAAGTCCTGTTGGAAAATGAAATCTGCATCTCCAAAAAGTTGGTCAGCTGCAGGAAGCATGAAGTGCTCTAAAACTTCCTGGTATGTGGCTGCGTTGACCCTGGACCTCAGAAAACACAATGGACCAACACCAGGAGATGACATGGCACCCCAAACCATCACTGACTGTGGAAACTTTACACTGGACTTCAAGCAACGTGGATGAAGTGCCTCTCTTCTTTTCCTCCAGACTCTGGGACCTTGATTTCCAAAGGAAATGCAAAATTTACTTTCATCAGAGAACATGACTTTGGACCACTCACCAGCAGTCCAGTCCTGTTTCTCTTTAGCCCAGGCAAGACGCTTCTGACGCTGTCTGTGGTTCAAGAGTGGCTTGACACAAGGAATGCGACAGCAGAAACCCATGTCTTTCATACGTCTGTGTGTGGTGGTTCTTGAAGCACTCACTCCAGCTGCAGTCCACTCTTTGTGAATCTCCCCCACATTTTTGAAGGGGTTTTGTTTCACAATCCTCTCCAGGGTGCGGTTATCTCTCTTGCTTGTACACTTTTCTCGACCACATCTTTTCCTTCCCTTCGCCTCTCTATTAATGTGCTTGGACACTGAGCTCTGTGAACAGCCAGCCTCTTTAGCGATGACCTTTTGTGTCTTGCCCTCCTTGTGCAAGGTGTCGATGGTCGTCTTTTGGACAACTGTCAAGTCAGCAGTCTTCCCCATGATTGTGTAGCCTATAGAACTAGACTGAAAGACCATTTAAAGGCTTTTGCAGGTGGTTTGAGTTAATTAGCTGATTAGAGTGTGGCACCAGGGGCCATCAATTTTGAACCTTTTCACAATATTCTAATTTTCTGATATGATGAATTTGAGATTTTCATTTGTTGTCATTTGTAATCATCAAAATTAAACAAAATAAACATCTGAAATATATGAGTTTGTATGTAATGTATGAATATAATATACAAGTTTCACTTTTTAAATGGAATTACTGAAATCAATCTACTTTTTCATGATATTCTAATTTTATGACCAGCACCTGTAGCTAAACAATCATTTAAATTTTTATTGAAGCAACATAATCCCACAGGGATTCTTTTAGACAACACTCTACTCAGTTGAATTGATAAATGCCCAACTTTCAATTAGACATATGTGACTTGCTGTTACACCATTTATCAAAATTGGAAGAGAATAACAAGCTGCTTGGATAAGGCAAAGGTATGCAGAGCTTTGAGAGTTTGAAAATAACCGGGTGCTTGCTCAAAGTAGGATTTATAAAAAAGAAGTAAGTAATAAACTGTGATTAACATCAAAGTCCATCTTGCTTCCACGAACCATCAATGAGGAGGGTTACATAGGCTCAATGTTAGAGAGCATGAAGAAGGGGTAGCATCATGGGCTCAACAGCAAAGAAAAATTTTTGAAATAGCACCACATGTCTATGATTATGTATAGAAGAGGTCCTGTCATGCCGTGGGCCTGTTTCTCTTTCAAAGGCTTTTTAGTAAGAAAAATAGACAGATAGAAAGCATAAATTGGTCAGCAGTTTTAGGAATCCATTTTGTGTGGGTTGTGCTCTTGTTCCCTCCACCACCAGGCGGCGCCTGGTTCTCGTTGGCCTCCTCATACACCTGTGGATAGTTACCTCATTACCGGAGGACTCTTAAGCTGCTGACTGCCACTATCTCGACGCCAGAGTGTTTGCCAGTTTAGGGTACTCTAGCCAAGCTGAGTTTTGCTGAGTCAAACTGAGTTTTTGTCTAGCTGAGGTTTAACCTTGCTGTTTTTGTCCTTGCCTCTCGGCAGG